GGCTTGCTCGGATTCCCCGCAGCCGCAGGGAGGGCGGGCAAGCCGACTCTACGAGGGAAGGGGAGGGGGTTTAAACTGCCTCTCCTCCCATGGGCTTGCTCGGCTTCCCCGTGGCCACGGGGAGGGCGGGGAAGCTGGCTTTGAGAGGGATGGTGAGGGGGTGTATGCCTCTCCTCTAACGGCCTTGCTCGGCTTCCCCGCAGGCATCTCCCCCCTCCCCGAGTGCAGTCAGGGGGCGCTCTCGGCCCAGCGAGGTTGGGGGCAGTGCAGGGAATGGCGGTGGAGGTCAAACCCACCCACCCAGCAGGTCCCGCAGCCTCCCGGGGGCAGGCTGTGGCGGCCCAGGGAAGCGCGGCACGGTTCTTTCCTCCATCACTGAGCTGCGTGGGGGCGTGCTGACAGGCCAGGGATGCTGGGGGTGCAGGGAACGCCGCCGGAGGGCAAACCCCCTTGAAGCAGGGCCCGTGGCCTCCCTGGGCCAGGCTGCGGCGGGCCAGGGAAGCACGGTGCGGCTCTCCGCAGCCCCCGTCTGCTTGTAGGCTGGCCAGGGATGTGAATGGTGGTTGAGGAGGGAAAGGTGGATCGGGGGCGGCTGGAGGCGTCTGTGCAGCCGGGCGCAGCGGCAGGCAAGTGGGGGCCTGAGTAGGCTTCCCCCCGTCCGCCAGGGCGATTGAGGGGGAAAGGTGCGCGATCAAAGGGCTGGCTGTCCAAGGCGCCTGGCCTTGTCCGTCTCCCCACCACCCGTTCGCCGCCTGTTGCAGCCATGCGTGGGCCAAGGTGGCTGGCCACGGCGGCTAGCCTCATTTCTCCCCCCCCCAGCCAATGGCACATCAGTAGTGTTGAGTGGCAGCCAACGGGCCAATGGCTGAGGGAGTGCATGCAATCTCGCCCTCCCATAGGACAGAAGCCATCCCAAATCAGCTTTATATATAAGATTACAGTGCCAACTGTGTTCAGCCAACTATGTATAACATATCATATTGACTATCAAAGTAAAGGGTTAAATCCAGACTAAATAGGCAATTCCCACCAATTTCCCCTTCCCACTGCAGATCCTCTTCATGTCATTCCTCAGAGTCCCCTTTTCTCCAGCAGGAGGATTTTATGGAGATGAGCTGCAGTAGGAGGGAGGAGGCAGAAAAATTATGTTCTGATGACCAATAATTTTATCTGAGTCCAACTCAAACTATATAGTCAAATATGTATTTGGATGTGAGATGCTAAAAAGAAAAGGGACCCTAAAAACAGAAGTAAAAGGCCAGAGGAAGGAAATACTACTACATACAGATAATTAGAGAAATTATGTCAGAATGGAACTTAGAAAATTGAGGTCTCCACAGAGTTGCCTGGAGATTTCTGGGGTGGAGCTTGGGGAAGGTGGGGTTTGGGTAGGGAGTAGGGTTGCCAGGTGTCCTCGCCGTTGCGGTGAAGGGATTTGGGGAGTGTTCCAGGGTGGGCAGGACATCATATGCAATGTCCCCAATGTGATGACATCACCCAGAAGTGACATCATTGCATTGGCACTGTCACATGTGACACTCTGGTTTGGGGGCAACAACACTATGGTTTTCTGACTCCAAAATCCTAGAGTTTGCCCAAAAGCTAGACCGTTGCCACACAGCATCACCGATGTGATAACGTCACTTCTAGATGAAGACGTCTGTGTTTTGAGATGGAGTTTCCCCCGCTGGGCCACATGGCCAGTGGTGGATCAGAGCCCCCAAAAGTGGGGGAACCCTTGCTGAGACCTGGGGGCTGGCAACCCTATAGGGGAGGAGCCTCAGCAGGGTATAATACCATGGAGTCCGTCCTTCAAAGCAGCCATTTTCTCCCGATGAAATGGTTTCTGTAATATGGAGATCAGTTGTAATTCTGGGAGATCTGCAGGCCACATTTTGAGATCAGCAACCATAGATCTCCACTTTCTGCCATGAATTGGGATCAGGAAGCTCAGAAACATCACTTTACTGTGTCATTAGTACTCATGGATTACAAATTCACATGAGTGCCCAGCAAATCTAGATTCCTTCAGAAGCCAGTGCATAATTCCCCTCTGATTTTAAAAGCAGGAGAGACTACACACCTGAATTCTAGACTACTGGCTGGAATGGTCATCAGAACAGGCAAACAGTGCCTCAAAAATACTGCATAATGGATATCCAGCCAGACATTTAGTGCAAATTTGGGAGAAATGCTTAAACTGTACACCTTCCTCAAACAAACTGGATGCTGTCCTTATGCAACCAGCTTTCTGTTCCAAGAAAATACTATGAAACTGGAAGTAGTTCAACAGTATCTGCATAATTTTTGGAGGCAGGCATCTACTTTAGCTTGTGTGAAGATTAAAAGGGACATTTTTGTGTTACGTATATGTAATGTAAGAAGTGGCCCTGAAACAGCACTTCAAATCTTTGCTTCCTTATATGGCTACCATGTGCACGATACCAACAAGATTTGCATGCAGTCCCAAACTGTTTACACTGCTGTTTCACATGCTCTGTGCCTCTGCAAGGAGCACCTGCAGTAACACAGCAGTTTATTGAATTGGTGACTATATAAGCTATGCAGTACTTTTAAGCATGCCCTTCAGATTCCATTTATGATAAATGGAATACTTTAATACATTATGCTTTTCATTAGTAGAGGATAACAGAAGAGAAAAATTATTTGTGACTTCCTGATGTTTGCCCTTAGATGTGCAAATATTGTCATTCAATCCTCCTTATTTCTTGTGATTTTTATACCTACAGGTTCAAGTGCATGCATACCCAACCTCTCACATACACACACAGATAGTGCTTTCCAGCTGTATAGTTCTGCTCCAGCTCTGGGAAAAGCTCCGTTTTACACGTGTCACTGCCTAAATAGATGGGAGGTTCTACCAAGGACAACAGATGCTAACCATGTCATAGATACACAAGATAGTACTACTTCTTAGCCCAACAAACAAATTGTTCTTCACAGGGGTCATTTCGTAGAAAAAGAGCTAGGGGAACTCATTAGCATAACTCATTAGCATATGCCACATCCCCTGACATCAGAGGCCCGGCGGTGGACCTGCAAGGCCAGCGGGAGTGCGAGGAAGCCCCGCCAAGGCCCTCCCTGGCCCCAGGCAGGCAGGGGTGGGGAGAGGTGGGGAGGAAGCAACTTACCCTCCCTCTTCTCCTGCCTCCTCCTGGCTGAATGAGGGCTGGAAGCGGGGTAGCCGGAAGCAGGGGGCGGGGCTTCGTCATGTGCCCCGCCCCCTGCACCTCACCCGGGGGAACTGTGTTCCCCCGCGTTCCCCCCCCGAAATGACCTCTGGTTCTTCACTATTATCAGTTTAGACAACCAGAAAGATTTCTTTTGTTACCAAAAAGGCAGCATCAATACCATTATTCTAATCCTACCCTCAAAAGAATCGATGTAATACAAATGAAAATAACACTGAGTATACTAATATGCATGTGTGTATATTTACACACATGTGCGCACACAATTTGCTCTGATCCTATTATTGGCACAAAAGAGACATATCAAAAATACTGGTAAATACTGGACAAATTCACTCTACCCTATAATTGTGTCAAGAAAATGTTCAATAGCATTAGTCTGAAGGAAAATTGACCTCTGTGGCTTGGCAACTTGGCATAAATATATTGCAATATTACTTATTTTCTGTTATTCAAAGTGATTCCTCCTAATTTACATCTACATTTTTAAAAAAATTATCTTCTCCTGCCCCTTGCAAGGTTAAAGAAATGCTCCAATAAATATAAATTATATTTTTTCCTGTATTCTTTCTCTAGTGGGGCAAACAGCCCTGCCACAGGCAAAGGGGTTAACCCCCTCCCCCATAACATCCGGTCCCACAGGCCCACTGCAAATCAGTTCTTCCATGTCTGCTGTTTAGAGAATCTTGACAAGATGATCTGATTCTGATCACAGATCTCCAGGCACCATCTAATGTGACCCTAAAACATCCCCATTTCTATGCCTGACCACTAAAAGCCTGTTTAAAGATAAAAAGAAGAAAATACCCACAGGATTTCCTGAAAGTGGCCTAATTGAAGAGGAAGGCACATATTGGAAAGGTCTTTCTGGGGTTTTACTGCATAAGGATGCAAATGGAAGATGACACTTGCATTCTCCTAATGGACATCAAGTTCCCATTTTCTGGGAAAGTCCAGGAGAGAATTCTAATCTGACAAGCTAACTTTTCATGATGACCACTGAATCATACAGCCCCGCCCCCAACTGCCCAGGAGGAGGATACATCAGCTTTTCCTTAATGCTCAGAGTAGTTCCAAGCCTTTGAAGAATTTTGACAGGAGGACTGTCAGGGCCAGGGAGCAACCACACAAAAAGAGACCTTTTATATGTCTTTTTCCTTATCTGATGCACTGAGTGCACTACCGACCAGTGTGCTGATACTATTGTAATGACACTTAAAAAGGAGAAAGAGGAGGCAATCTCTCAGAATGCAGAATCCATTCAATTTATGTCCTGGCCACCCTTATTTCAAACCATCTTTCATGCAACACAGTCTTTATACTTGCATTAATCTTCATTGATTGTTCCAAACTCAGTGTCATTTTACTTACTGAATTCTTTCCCACCTTCTCCCTCCCCAGACCTGTTTAAAGAGAGTGCAGCTAGTAAAATAACAAATCCTTTTGGCTCTGGAACCTTTTCCATTTTGCTGACTGCTGGGAGTTTTAAAGAATCAAAGCTCTTGGCTTGTCATTTGCACAGCCTCACTCTTCACTGTAACTACTGAGATCAGCAACTTTGCAAACCAATTAAAGCAAAGCATTCTGGGACAGACATATTCTACATGACAGAGTGGCTGTTTCTAGGCTGTGGTGCTGAAACAGAATTGTTTATTGGTTCTACCAGGTTTTATTCTGGTATGATAAGCATTTCAGGGTCACAAATGAAATCAGGAAATCCACAGATTATTTTCCGGGTCTTAAAACTGACCCTGATGGAGATTTATTAGGAAACGGCACGCTTCTTACCCCACAGCCCATTCCATTGGATGGTTCGCACACTACTTTTCTCACTTCTGGTTCTGGAAGCAGGCCAGCTCCACATCCTGGAGTGGGACACAGCACACCACCCATCTGCAGAACGCACTCTTCTGCACCATAGCGCTGGTAACGATTGTACTGCAAGGAAATATGTAGTTTAACAGTCACTTTCCTCCGATTTTAAAACCACATCTTGCGACACATAAACAGTAAAGAGCTTTTAAGCCCCACCCCCACTATCGTATTTCTTACATTGTACACTAAGCCAATACACCAGTTTGAGTATTCAGTTAATGCAGGAAGTGCTCCACATCATTCTGTTGACCATGAACAAAAAGGATAATTGTCATCACCATAGTTCTGCATTGGGTCTATTTTTCCCCAGAGCAGAAAGAAGGGACCGCGGGGAGGGGGCTTGACTGTCACGTTATTTTCAAAGTACCTGAGAGTCTGCTATAGAGACAAGAGCAGCCACACTACAACTGAAGGGCAGCCAGAATATGCATTACCAGTCTCAGTTGATAAAGGAAAATGCTTTTTAGCCGTCAGTGTGGCACAAAGGGCTCTGCCAGGTTTCTTCTTTTGATTTTCATGAACAAATAATACATTTTTAAAAAATCAATTATGTATTTGTAAGTTATAAGTAAAAGAATTGATTTACCAATTTGATTTGTGGGGAAGGTCATATTTTGTCAGGAAATTTGACATTTTCTACTGGCTCTGTATAGAAATCGTGCCGAATTATTATACTATTATAGTGCCATCAAGAATGATTTTCACCCTACAAAAGTCAAATAAATGGATGAGACTGAAAAAAAGATCTTTTTAAATGCATTCACACATTTTACTATCCAGTTACCAACCTGTCTCCTGTCTGTGAAGTTGAAGACTGTTTTTCAAGGTGTTTTCTGAATCCCCCCCCCTTATTTTTTAGCCTGGAAATAATATATCCCAGTCTGTACAAGCCTTTTGCTGTAACAAAAGGCAGTATCATTGTGAAATATGCTGTATTCATGCTTTCAAACATATCTCATTAGCTTAATCGTACATGAATAAGGACTTTTTTAGAGTGAATATATAGAACTATGATTCTCAACCTACACACTCAGAATAATTCTGGGGGTGCTTTGCATCAAGTGGTTTGAGATGACTTCACATCCATTCACATCCACTCTCATGGGATCTTTTACTCTTTTGACTGGATCTTTATTTCACACGAGTTCTAAATAGTAATGTAGCTCACTTATCTCTTAGATAGTTGAGCTTCCTGGCCTCTCTTTGTAATAGGATTGCCAGTCCCCCAGTTCCTGCTTCCCAACCCTGAAATATTTTTAGAAGGCTGTCAGGTGTGATATCAGTTTTGGGAAACCCTTGGAAGTGATATCACACCTCTCTAGGAATCACCAGAAACTCCATGTTAAAATTCTATGGTGAAAACATAGCGTTTCTGGCAATTCCTAGAGATGACCGATGTCTCTTCTGGGTTTTCCCTGGAAGTGATGCCAGCGATCTCTGGGAATTTACAAAAAACAGTTTTACCATAGAGTTTCTGGTGATTCCTAGAGAGGTGTGATATTACTTTGATTTTTTTCCTGGAAAGGATGTCACGCCGTCACTGACAGCCACCCCCCCCCCACGTCCTTGCTCCTTGAGTTTCCCACTGATTGTCAGGCTAGTTGTAACAACATTAAAGGTAAAGGTAAAGGTTCCCTTGCTCGAAAGCCAGTCGAATCCGACTCTAGGGTTGCGGTGCTCATCTCCGTTTCAAAGCCGAAGAGCCAGCGCTGTCCGAAGACGTTTCCGTGGTCATGTGGCCGGCATGACTAAACACCAAGGCGCACGGAACGCTGTTACCTTCCCACCGAAGTGGTCCCTATTTATCTACTTGCAATTTCTTGCTTTAGAACTGCTAGGTTGGCAGGAGCTGGAACTAGAGACAGGAGCTCACCCTGTCTTGCGGCACCCGGGTCTTGAACCGCTGAACTACTGACCTTCCACAGCCTGCAGTTCAGCATCCTAACCACTTGAGCCACCGCAGCTCCTGTAACAACATTAGGTAAAGGTAAAGGTCTCCCTTGCTCGAAAGCCAGTCGAGTCCGACTCTAGGGTTGCGGTGCTCATCTCCGTTTCAAAGCCGAAGAGCCAGCGCTGTCCGAAGACGTTTCCGTGGTCATGTGGCCGGCATGACTAAACACCAAGGCGCACGGAACGCTGTTACCCTCCCACCGAAGCGGTAGTGACAGCTGTTGCCACAACAGGAACACTTCATCTGTCAGAGTTTAGACCCATGTTTAGCTGTCTCTTGACCAACACTATGTCTCTTGACCAGGCTCTGAGGGGTCCTTTCTCTCCCTTTCTCATCCTCCATATCATAGCCCCTCTGGACTTTTCTATATCTTCAGAGGACCCTTTCTGATAGACCCTCAATGCTCTTCTCCTCAAACCTCCTACCCACTTTTTCATCCCACTGTCTATTTGGCACCCTTCCTTAAGCCTCACTGCCTCTGGGTTCTTCATCCCTTAGGTTCATCATACTCCAAGATAACTTCCCAGTCCTCAGCATGCTTCCATGGGAGGCTTTAATTCCAGTAAAATTGCCAGCTGATGAAACACGGGGCCAGTGATTATAATATCCTTTTCTCACAAGGATATATTCCTGTACAAAGTAATCAGAATTAGTTACTCCCAAGAAAGGTAAACTTTAAAACATCTAGCAGAGATCACTGCTTTTCAAGACACCCACAGAGCAATCATCTTGAAGAGCCAAAGGCTGTTCTAACGAATTCTGTTTTATAAGCCCTTTAAAAAAGCAAGAGAGAGACAGTTCATCTGATTTCCTCCAGGATGATGAACATGACAATGACCACACAGAAAAAGCTCATGTACCCTTATGAGTGCTGAAACATCCAAAAGGCATTGCTGCACTGACTGAAGCTGGGTTTATACTGGGAGATATGGTCTTTCAGGTATGTTGGCCCCATATTGTAATAGGCTTTTATGGTAAGCACGGATACTCTGATGTACATTTAGAAACCAATGGAAACTTACAGGATACATATAGGACACCGGAGAGACTTGCCCCAACAACAGACAGGCTGTCACATTTTGCATCAATTGCAAAGTCCAAACTGTATTTAAGATCAGCATGTTAAGTCTCAAGGTGGCTGGCAGTTTCCAAATAGGGGGCAAGCTTACGGACCATACATTGTTGGTAAGAAAAGAAAAGAAAAGCACTTTTGCTGCTACAAACCACTTTTTCAGTAGCAGAGCTGGGTCCAGCAAGATTCCAAAGCTCTTTATGGTGTTTTTTGAATGATAATTGAACCCCATCTAAAAAGAGGAGCAAGACTCCACCTAAGGAGATGCCTCATTGACTAGCATTCTCTCCATCTTGTCAGGGTTTGGTTTCAGTTTATTCCCTGGAAGCTGCTTGCTGCTTATTTTGTTGGTCCAGCTTAGCTGACATATTGAATGTTCAAAGTGCTGTTTTATAAGAACAGGTATAAGATGGAGACTCAAATGCACTACAGGCACAAGTGGAGGCGATCTTGGCTATCAAGAACGAACATTTCAAGAGGTTTTTTTTTTTTTTTTTAAAGGATTGTAATAAAAAGTGTTAGGAGAAAATGTTCTATAAAATTATAATCTATATGATTTACTAAGCATATTTAAATTGGTCCTGCACAGAATCTCAAGAATATGGCCTGTCTTTTATTACTCACAAAACCCGAGATCCAGCACAGTAAGTATATTCCAAGAAACCAGATCAAGAGAAGAGAATGAAAACTAATATTGCTGATAGCTAAATGTTACTGCTAAAACTTGCAAAAGAAAGCATATGTTAAAAGAGGAGGCTTTGGGGGGCTTCTCATCCAAAAAGGTGGCTGCCTTCAGTCATGTCTTCCTCCAAGTGCACTTCTGGCACATAATAAAATCCAATGATGTTTTTAAGACAGTGGGTTTACTCTTTTGTGATGGAGTAGTCATCGTTCTCTATCCTAAATAACATTTCACCCTGCACTCCACTGACTCCTTGGTTTCAGACTTTAAGAATGGACTTTGACCACATTGATGCATCACCATCTGTATGGCCTCATCCAGCCACAAGCCATGGCTGGATGTTACAACAGAGCAGACTGAAATGGAATCCATCAAAGATGGAGGTCCTGCACCTGGGTCGTGGGGGACTGGGATTAGTTATTGGGCTCCCACCCTTTGATGGGGCCCCATTGGTGCTAATGCCGAAGTTAAAGAGCCTAGGGCTGTTCCTGGATGCCTCACTGACTATGGAGCCCAGGTCACCAACACTACCAGGTTTGCCTTTTTTCATCTGGCCCTATACCTCACCACCTGCAATCTGGCCGCGGTGACCCATGCAATGGTCACTTCCAGACTAGATTACTGTAATTTTCTCTGTGTGGGGCTAGTGTAGAGCACAGTGGCATGGGTGTTGATGTCGCTGCCTGTGCGGGCACATACTTGCCCGGTGCTGCATGACCTGCACTGGCTGCCTATCGAATTCCTGATCCATTTCAAGGTGTTGGTAAAGATAAAGGGTTTCCCTTGCTTGAAAGCTAGTCGAATCTGACTCTAGGGGGTGGTGCTCATCTCCGTTTCCAAGTCGAAGAGCCAGCGCTGTCCAAGGATGTTTCCGTGGTCATGTGGCCGGCATGACTAAATGCCGAGGCGCATGGAATGCTGTTACTTTCCCACCGAAGCGGTACCTATTTATCTACTTGCAATTACTTGCTTTCAAACTGCTAAGCTGGCAGGAGCTGGGGCCAGAGACGGGTGCTCACTCCGTCATGCAGCACTTCAGTCTCAAACTGCCAAACTGCAGGCTTTCCATTCTGCAGCTCAGCATCTTAACCCCTGAGCTACCACAGCCCCTTAAGGTGTTGGCGCTTACCTTTAAAACCCTATAAGGCCAAGGGGCCACATATCTTCGAGACCGCCTCTTCCCATATGAGCCTCATAGAACATTGCATTCTACAAACAAACACCTCCTGGTAGCCCCCAGCCCTAGGGATGTCCAAGTTGCCTCAACTAGGGCAAGGGCCTTTTCAGCCCTGGCCCCTGCCTGGTGGAATGAGCTACCTTATGAGAGCAGGGCTCTGCGGGACCTGTTACAGTTCTGCAGGGCCTGCAAGATGGAGCTCTTCTGCCAGGCCTTTAGATGAGGCAGTGGGCATCCCTTTGATCTGGCCTCCCTTCCAGTGACCGCAGTTCCTATAAGCTGGATGGGACCACAATATTATCCATTGAGGCATGCTATTGTTGTAGTCTGTGGTGATCTTATTGATTTTAAATGGATTGTTATAATGTGTTTTAACTGTAAATATACATTAATTGCAGAACTTAAGTTATAAATTACAAATTGTTTTAATCGTAAATCTGCATTATTGTAGACCTATACGTTGGTACCCGCTCTGAGCCTACAATGTGGGGAGGGTGGGTTATAAGTCTAATAAACTAAAAGCCTTTGTCTCTTATCTCATAATTCACTGACCTAAATTCTATGAACGTGTGAGGCTGCCTTATACCAAGTCAGAGCCATGGTTTATTTAACCCAGTGGTATATGTTCTGCTTGGCAGCAGCTCTCCAGAACTTACCTGGGATCCCTGGATATTGGGATTTAACCTTTCACAAGTAGAAAATGTGTTCTTCCATAAAGCTCTAACCCCCCAAATCATGATAATAAATGCTAATCCTAGTTATGAATTTGGCAGACAGTGTTTCATAATATTGTTGGACTATGACCCGAGTTCATACTCAGGCATTAAGCTCAATGAGTGACCTTGGGCCAATCATTCTCTCAGCATAACCCATCGCACAAGGTTGTGATGACAATATAACAGAATGGGGGGGGGGGAGACAATGTATGCCACCCTGAGCTCTTGGGAGAAAGGGTGGGTAAAAAAATATAATAGATTCTCAGACAATCTTTATTCTACATAAATGCCTCAAGCTCACCCCAATCTCTGACCCAACACAGATTCCTTGCAAATTTGGACCTATCTTGCAGAAAACATGAACAGCCCCCCCATCGGTCTACAGTAGCTCTGTTGTTAAAGGGGTGAAAGAAAAGAGTGAATGTTGCATGTAAAAGAATGTAAATATCATTGAACTGATACCTTATGCTCTGAAGGCTTCCGTCCAGAAAAGTTTGGGTGTTTGAGGACAGTGCCCCAGAAGTTGTTAAAGGAGTGAAAAATAGGTAAATCACACCAAGCATTAGATATCTATCCTTTATTTTAAGCAGACTTCATCTTCCTGCTCGCCTGTCTGCCATTTTACACTGCCTGTTTACTGTAGGAGTCCTGAGTTGAAAGCTGTGACAGATAGCAGATGTACCAATTAATAATCTGTCAGAGCTGATGGATAGAATCAAAAGAGTCTCATACGCGCATATACAGAGATTGTGGGAGTATGTGTCCCCCCCCCGCCCCAATTTCAGGGCACTGAGAGGGTCATGAGATACACACTGCTTCCCTAGAGAGTGAAGAAGCTGTCTCATTAGCGTCTATCTTTCATGACACCATGACGCTGCCTTTCAGATGCTAACTCACCTGCTCCTCGCCCAGAATCCTGAAGTGATGCAGCTCTTTAATCAAGGAGTCCTGGCAGCCAGCTACAGTAAAGAAAATACAGAAATACTGTTTAGAACTGATGTTCATTGTTTCTTGAGGTATGATACACAGCATGTAGACACTGAGATGCTGCATCAAGAGAAGGATATACAGCTTAAAAAGCATTGTGATACTGTAGTAGATTTACTGTATTAGTCAACAACCCTTCCATGCCAAATTTCAGCACCCACTCCTAGCAATGGATTGAAGGACTGTATTCTAAGTTTTTATGTCTTAAACTTTCCTCCCCAGGATGAGGAGGCATTAGTGTGGTGTAATGGTCAGAGTGCTCGACTAGGACTATGTTTTCTAACTGTGAGAACTGTGACTTCCACGCCTGAAAGGAGAGAATGGAGAACATCAGTTTACTTCCCACAATTAGAAAAGATACCTTTACACATTTATCTGCTGTTTTGACATATTGATTGCTTTACAACTGTTGACCTTATAACCTTAGCTTGTTATTTAGTTTGACTTTGCACATCTTCATCATGTTACATGTTCATTTGCTGTTCGGCCCCATCTATAAGTTTGAACCTTACTTACCATTCCAATGAATTTGAAAAAGTGTGCATGCACACTGAATGTCATACCTTGAATAAACCTTTGTTGGTCTTAAAGGTGCCTCTGGACTCTAAATTTGTTCTACTGCTTCAGACCAACACGACTGACCATCTGGATCTAACTTGCTCGCCACCTTCCTAGGTAGCTGGTGTAAATGTTTTGTAATTTAGAGGTAAAATAAGATAATTTGGTTTATTGGCAAACCATGAACACCAAAGGAGGGAGAAATGTGCATCTTTGGTACATGCTACTTTATACAAATAATCTCCATTTTGCAGGTTTCTGCTCCTTTATGGATAGAATGCTTTAGGGTTAATTACCGGACATCTCATGTAGCCCTAACAATTACAGCAACATTCATATTCTCCATGTAATCTCTCTCTCTCCTTCCTTCTCTGTGGCCTTTTGAAAGTGAAATGAAAAAGGGAATAGATACACATATATACTTGAAGAAAAAGAAAGCCCCTTTCAATCAAAAGAAATAGGAAACAAAATACTGAAATAGTAGGCCAAATATCAAAATGGTCCATCAACAGGTTGGAAAACATCGGTGAAAGTGTTTATTATTTCTTCTAGTGTGAGCCCAATAAGATGAATTCCAGCAAGAATTTCATTTGCTACAATGATCATGCAAAGGTTTACATGTTGTGACAACAGGGGGTGAGCTGAAAGAATTTCTATCATGTTGTTTTTGAGATAATGTTAGCTCTATCTGCAGTCATTTTTTCAGCACCCATCTTGAAAATATTCAACAAATTTTAAGGGACTGTGTAATCACCAGGAGTGTGATAAATCGGCATTTCCAGAGAAGCTCCAAAGTCTTGACTTTGAAGCTCTAAAAGAACAAGCCTGGAGAAGTTCTGTAGGCTTGGCTGAAAGGTTATGCAGTTTTGCAAGAGCTCTGAAAGTATCCATTGAAAGAAGCAGCCCAAGACTTTCCAAAGCAAAGAGTTACCTGGCTTAGAAAAGCTCCTCTGCCTTTGGCTCTCTGCTAGGGTTGCCAGGTCCACTTGTTGCTCTGGCAGGGGGAGCTGGGGGGTGTTCCAGGGGTGGGCGGGGACACCGTACAACTTCCCCGACGTGATGATGTCACCCAGTAGTTATGTCATTGCGTTGGGGACATCGCATGGGGATGCTCTGGTGTTTGGGCAAAACTCTATGGAATTTTTGCCTTCAAACCGGCCGTATCCATCTGTACTAATGGGTTGGAACTCTCACTAGTAGCTATAACTATTGATTTTAAAGGTTTATACTGTGCTTTTAAACTTATTGTATTGTTGAAAGATGATGTGACCCGCCCTGAGCCCACTGTCAGGATGGGTGGGTTACACATACGAAAAATACATAAACAAATCATAGAGTTTGCCCAAATACCACAGTGTCCCTGTATGACATCCCTGCCACAATGACATCATTTTTGGTTGATGGCATCACATCAGGTTTAGAGGCAGGGTTTTCCCCACCCATCAGCTGGTCCGCAGCAGAGAGAAGCCCCTGAAACTGGGGGAATTCCCCACTTGGATCTGGGGGCTGGCAAGCCTACTCTCTGCAAGAGCTGTGTAATTCCTTCAGTCTTAGCTGGTTCCCCATTATTAATTTATTTAAAATAGTATTATACCAGTGTTCCACCCAAATAGGGTCCCCAAGGTGGTGAATACCATCACATTAAATCATTTTAACATTAAAACTAAATTATATATAAAACTATACATGCTTTCGTTTAAAGAATATATAAAATAAACAATAAAAACATCTAAGTACACATAACAATACAATATGGGAGGCAAGTCAGTAATGGTTACGGTGGATATGCCAAACAAAACAAAAATGTCTTCATCTGCTGGCAGAAGAGAGTGATAGAAGGAGACAGATGTGTCTCCCTGGCAAGGGAGTTCCAAAATTTGGTGCCACAACCAAAAAGGTCCTTTCTTGGGTTGCCACCCATCTAGCATCAGATGGTAGGGACACCCGAAGATGACCATAGTGGACAGGTAGGTTCATATGAGAATGTAGTCCTTAAGGTATGTTGGCCCCAAGCTGTATAGGGCTTTAAAGGTCAATACCAGCACCTCGAATTGGGCCGAGAAGCAAATTGGGAGCCAGTCTAGATGGAACAAGTCTGGAGTGATATGGTTCCTGTGACCCACTCCAGTCAACATTGTGGCCATAGAATTTTATAATTATAATTTCCAGAGAGTCTTCCAGGGCAGTCTCACATAGCATATATTGCAGTAATCTGATCTGGATGTTAACCGGGGTAATATTTTCCTGCCCAAGAACAGCTCACCCTTGACCACCATTGCCACCTATTTATCCAACAGTAAGTCACAGCCCAAGAACACCCCCAAGCTATGAACCTGCTCCTTTAGGGAGACCACAATCCCATCCAGGACAAGAGAGATCCTGATCCTTGATCAAACCTTCCCCGTACCAGTAGCACCTCCATTTTGTCAGGATTAAGTTGCAGTTTGTTAGCTCTCATCCATACCAAAACTGCCCTCCGAGCACCTTTCATGGTTCCCGGAGCCTCCCTGGGAACTGCTGGAAGTGCAAGACAAAGTTGAGTGTCATCTGCATTTTGGTGGCAACTCAGCCCAAATTGAAGGTCAAAGACGACGGGGACGGCAAAGGATGAGATGGTTAGACAGTGTCATAGATGCAACGAACATGAAGTTGAGCAAACTTCAGAGGACGGCAGAAGACACGAAGGCCTGGCGTGATCTGGTTCATGGGGTCGCAAAGAGTCGGACTCGACTGTGCGACTGAACAACAACAGCAACAGCCCAAATATCTGGATGATTGGATGATCTCTCCCAGTGGCTTTACATAGATGCTAGAAAGCATTGGGGACAAGAAAGAACCTTGCAGGAGTCGGACCCTGTAGGCCAAAGGCCAAGGGGCAGAGGAGCCAGCACCACACTCTGAAATCTACCTTTGTGGTAGGACTGAAACCACTGCAGCACAGTGTCTCCCAGTCCCTGCCCCGAAAGGCGATCCAGAAGGATACCATGACTGATGGTTTCAAAAGCTGCCAAGAGGTCTGAGAGAATTAACAGGCAGATTCTGAGACCCAGTCATGGAGTTACAGTTAGTTGCCTGTGCTTCCTGGGATGAAAGAAACCATTTTAATTAAACAAATGGCGAAAATCCCATAGAGTGGAACCAAATTGATCCCTAAGCTTTGTAACCCATTATTCCATCCAAGTAAGCCAATACATTTTCCTTTAAGAAATAAAGATACACTTTGCAGCATTAATGTCATCATTATGCTCTAGACATTAAAAATTATGCATTTACATATAAATCCATTCCCTGGTAGCAGTGGCAGAGAACATAAACACAGAAATAATTGTTTAGTGGATTTTTTTTCTTCATCGGCATGAAGTCCCTGGAAACTGCAGGTATCTCAACCTGGAAGTTCAATATGCTGTGGGTTTTTTTAAACGTGCACCCACCCCCCCAAGATTGATAGTAGTTTTAATTTAAAGTATTCTAGCTTTGGGGTTTACACGGGCAGCATGCATAAACCCATGTTTTGAGTGCTGGGATGAATAACTTATAACTGAATGGGAATGACGAAGTTCAGCAGAAACAAAGCCAGAAATATTGCAGTAATAAATACTGATTCATTTCTCCAGTTGCTTCCAGATCTCTAAACTGCTGAAACTAATTAGAATACTGATGTAAATGTAAGACCTTTATCCTTCTTGTGTCTGATCTAGTGTGGAAGAATTGTGTCTTTATGACACTGTAATCACTCCTGAGGTGTCAGACAGTGATGGCAAAGGATTTGGTGACTTCACTGTACCAGAGTTAATTAAATGCTTTCAGGTTTGGGACAGCCTTTCTCTTTCGAATAGTTTGTCCTCGCTTTAAAAAAACAAGACATCGGGTCAAAGTGTGAAATGAGCTTGTACACAGAAAACTTAGTGTTAATGCCCAACAAAAAGCAAATGGACTGAAGTTTATCAGGCAGAGAGGCAATGAGAAAGTAAAAAGGGCAGGGAGGATTCTTGCAATTAGCTTCCCTTAAGGGGCCTTATCAGAAGACTGATAAAGGCACTGCTAAATGACACCTGGGTGATTTGTGATCACATCTCCCAAAACATTTTAAAAGTTATAAAGCAGCTTTCATGCCCATCTCCAGCTCACATTATTTTGCCCTTCTTCCAAGGAGTTCACACATGGTCTTCCCCTCTGCAATTTATTCTCACAAAAACCATATGTGAGATAAATTAGCTTAAGCAATGATGACTGTTTCAAGGTCACCCAATGAGGTTCATAGCTGAGTGACAATCTGAATGTGCTACACCACAATGGTCAATCAAATGGTCCCTACTGGAACTTAAGCTGTAGCAGAAGGAGAGAAGGGTTTAACCCCCATTTCCCTATTTTCCCAGTAACCATCCCTCTGAACTGCTATTTGTCCAGTACAGAACAAAGACAGATATAACACAATCATCTATTGGTTTTCCCTACTGTAATGTTACAGTGTTCATGTGGCCCAATTTCCAACTGGAAGCCGTGACCTGGATAGCCCAGGCTAGATCAATCTTGTCAAATCTCAGAAACTAAACAGGGGCGGCCTTGGCTAATATTCGGAAGGGTGACCTCCAAGGAGTACCAGGGTCGTGTTGCATGTGCAGACTATGGCAATCCACCTCTGAAATGTCTCTTGCCTTAAAAAACATCTAGGTTGCCACCTATTGGTGGATAACAGTAAAAGAGTTAGAACTTCTACCTGCCAGAAAATCTTAGGATCTCCTGGCTATACTACACACACTGCCATACAATACCATTATTATCCTCCTCCTCCTCCGCTGCTGCCACCTCCTCCTCCAACTGGAAGCCACACCAACATCAAAATAGTCCAGATGCCTATGTTGCTGCTAGATGTAATACCCACTAAAGAAACCCTAGGCCAGTGATGGTGAACCTTTTAGAGACGGAGTGCCCAAACTGCAACCCTAAACCCACTTATTTATCGCAAAGTGCCAACACGGCAATTTAACCTGAATACTGAGGTTTTAGTTTAGAAAAAAGAACTCTTACATTAACATAAGATGATCCAAACAAAGTAAGGAAAGCAATCCCAAATGCTTTCATTTACTTAAAATTATTTGGCAGAGAATTCCACACTTTAATGATGGTCTGGGCCTGGCTGGGGCGATGCCACACGTGCCCACTGAGAGGCCTCTGAGTGCCGCCTCTGGCACGCGTGCCATAGGTTCGCCACCACTGCCCTAGGCCATGATGCATATACTAGTACTTGGAATCTGTGACTAACATGAAACATTTGAAAGGAGTACTGAGACTCAGAATGAAATCAGACATGAGTTATATTAATACACTCTCAAAGCAGAGAAATTATCAAAATCAGGCAATGCAAATAATACCAAATACGCACTAGAGAACAAGGTAACCACTCAGCCAGGCCCGAAGAGAAGAAGGAGAGTGCAGTGAAAAGTAAAAGACAGAAGTTTCTAGGTAGTCATCCTGAAGTCCAATGTTGTTCAGCACCAATGAAAGGATCCAGGGGCTGGGCAGGAAATAATCCATAAAGGAGGAGGCAGGAACAGGAAAGTAGGGCTATATGCCATGAGCCTATCATTTCAATCCTAAACATATCACTGTAGTAGTAAGTGCCATTTCACGTGTTAGGCAGCAATAAACCAAGGTTTGCCATTTAGTGTATACTCAACAGAGAACATAGCTCACCATATTAGTGGTGTATATAGCACTGCAACTTTAAATTCTGCTTTTCAACTTGTCCCTAATTTTTCTTTCAGACCACAACCCCATACAACATAGCTGTCTTACCGAATCAGACCACTGGTCCATCAAGTTCAGTAGTGTCTACTCAGACTGGCAGCTGCTCTCCACGCTCTGAGGCAGAGGTCACCTACGACCTGATCCTTTTTAATGGGAGATGCCAGGGATTGAACGTAGTACCTTCTGCAAGGCTCAGATGATCCACCTCTGAGCTATAGCCCCTCCTCTCCTTTTTTATCCAATAAGCCCTTATCTCTATAGCTTGTCTTACAGGGAGCAGAACTATGAGGGAAGGAAGTGGTAGAGTTCTGCTGTGGTAGAACGGACTGTACCATCTCATGACATTTTAAATAATGTTCTGCTATGTAGAAAGACAGAAAATAACGCCTTATTTCAAAACTCTAATGCAACAACCTTGTGGAGGGAATACCAAGTGTGTCATATAAATTGTCCTGCTAGATCATTTCTTTCTTGAGAGGATGCTAGACCCCCACAGACCCCCACCCACCCCTGCTGCACCATGCTCCTTACCCCTGCCCCTCCGTGGCCTCGCCAGCTTTTCCAGGGAAACTGCTCTGCCACTTCTGGTCGATTTCACTCCATGGATCAGCTGTCAGGTTTAACAGCTGATCAGAGGGGAGTGAAACTGACCAGAAGTGGCAGGGTGGCTTCTCTTTCCTTCCCCAGCCTCCCCTCTGCTGGGGGGTGGGCTGGGGAAGGAAAGGGAAGCCACCCTGCCACTTCTGGTCAGTTTCACTCCCCTCTGATCAGCTGTTAAACCTGACAGCTGATCAGAGGGGAGTGAAACTGACCAGAAGCAGCAGGGCGGCCCTGGGAAGGAAGGGAAGACCCCTAAATGACCTTCCCCGGGGAACTAATCTAATCTAATTAAATTCCCCGCTCCCATCCCCTCCCCAGCACCCTGGCCCCTACCCCACCAAACAAAATTTTCTGGCTATGGGCCTGGGTCAGCTGATGTTTCCTCAAATAAAGCCAATTCTGAGGTTCTCTTCTTCCAAGCTCCTGCCTCCTGTTGCTATGCCCATGATTTGGTTTGAACTGTCTTTCCTAGGTTCAGATCTTGCAGCTACTGGCTTACACTGTCTTTCAGTTTTGGTTAAAGGCTAGTGTGAAAGTCTTTTGAAAAATCTGCGGCAACTTGCTTGTCACTAATCCCATGTGCTGTCTCTTTATTGCTTACTCATCACAAATAAAAGAATAGCATAATTTGTGAACAACATCTGATGTCTTTGCACAGTAACTCTGCTGAGAGAGCCATGCTAGAGACTGGAACAGATAAAACAAATGGCATCAAATGCAAATACTGCATACATGGTGTGTCAGCTGCAATGGGGGAAATTCTGCTGGACCGATCGCTCTGCCGCTTTGGCCTCCGCTATCTGCAGCTCTTTTCATTTTTAATGGCTGCTTTAAAGCTAAATTACTCAAAGTAAATGAACCGCAATAGCGATTTGCTTCAAAGATACTTCTTTGCTAATCTTTATGGCAGAAAAAAGAAACAAGACTAAAACGTTTGCATTTTAGACAGTTTAAAAAAACAACAACAACATCTCTCAGGCTTTGTTTTTCTTTCTTCCTTGCCATTCTAATCTCAATTTGGGCCAAATTATTGAAATGTTAGGATGCCAAAGGTTATTATTTTTGGCAGTTTTTTAAAAAGTTTGCCATACAATGGAGCAACCAAATAACCAGATGGAAGCAAAGTTTTTTTAAAACAACAAC